ACTATGAACTTCTACCTCTTCCTTTACATTGCTTAAAGATCACAAGTTTTATGCTAATTATAGATGGCATGGCAAATATTTAGAAGTACATTAAAGTAAAATCACATTTTTTGTATTATGCTCTTTTCCTGATATTTATAGACTAAAATCAGTAAAGATTTAGATAATGGCTATATTTCATGCTTTCATTTAAAGTACTGGTAGTATGCTATTGAATACTAAGTAGAAAAATTCTAGGCATGTTACTATTATTATTTTTCAGCTCATGCTTTCTGCCAAAGTAGAGAATTTATTTATATGATAAAAAATTTGAGATGCCTGTATGGACATTGTTCAAGGGATAATTGTAAACATGATAAGTTGCTCAGAGAGAGAAAATGTTTCTGTCATATCTTTTTTTTTTTTGCGGTACGCGGGCCTCTCACTGTTGTGGCCTCTCCCGTTGTGGAGCACAGGCTCCGGACGCGCAGGCTCAGCGGCCATGGCTCACGGGCCCAGCCGCTCCGCAGCATGTGGGATCCTCCCGGACCGGGACACGAACCCGCGTCCCCTGCATCGGCAGGCAGACTCTCAACGACTCTCAACGACTGCGCCACCAGGGAAGCCCTGTCATATCTTTTTCTGAACAAGCTGAGGAGAAAGTTCCTGGATTCTTTGAAATTCTAGTAGTATTTTGTTCTCTAACAAAAGCCAAGAAGAGTGGCTAGCTTTTTATTTTTTTAAATATCTTAAAAGGTACTTGTATAGAGCATTTCCACATCAGTACTTCCACATCGTCTTTATTCATGGGTTATACAATATGGAACTGCACAAATTAGGCCCAATCCTAAAAGCAGTAAGAATAAGTGTAATGTGCAGTTCAGCAGTATGTCGAAGACTTCAGTGATGTCAGTTACTTGGTAAAATTAATATGTAATCTTCAATTACTTATATATTGTTTCCCAGTTAGCATCACTTGCAAATAATTCTGGGAGGATGATTTCACTTGCATCTCAACTTAATGCCTTTTTATCCACATCCTTCTGGGAATGGTTTCTGAAGTGAAGCTTATTTTTCATTGTGTTTCTGTTTCTATTTGTAGTGTTTCAGCTTTAATTCTTAGTTCTGTTGTTCCATTATAATGTATGTTTTCTGGAGGCTGTTCTTTTATCCTGTGGCATTTTTCAGTCTCCTGTGATGAAGCCATTCAGATCATATACCCTAACTATCACACATACCATAATTTATACTATTTTCTTACCAACCTAAACCTTTCACTGTACAGGTCTGTGTGTCTAGCTGCCTACTTGACATTTTAACTTAGATGTCTGACAGGCATTTCAAACTTAACCTATTCCAAACTGAGCTACAGTTGGCCCTCCATAACCAAGGGTTCTGCATCCAAAGATTTAGCCAACTGCAGACGGAAAATATTTTGGGGAAAAAAATTCCAGAAAGTTCCAAAAAGCAAAACTTGGATTTACCACATGCTATAAGCTATTTACATAGCATTTTCATTGTATTTACAACTATTTACATAGCATTTACTTTAAATTAGATATTATAAGTAATCTAGAGATGATATAAAGTATATAGGAGGATATACATGGGTTATATACAGATACTACACCATTTTATATAAGGGACTTGAGCATCCGCAGATTTGGGTATTGTGGTGGGGTGGGGTGGAGGTGGGAGGTGTCTTGGAAGCAGTTCTCTCTGGATACCAAGGGATGATTGTACCTATATTTCTCCCTGTAAACTAGCTTGTCTCACTGTCTTTTCCATCTCAGATTATGGCAGTTCATCCTTCCAGGTGCTCAGACTCCAACACTTGACATCATTTTGATTCCTTTTTTTCTTTTACCTCATGCTTGGCCTGTTTGGAAATCCTGTTGACCTTACCTTCAAAATATATTTAGAACTTAACTACTTCTCATCACTGTCACTGCTCCCATCTTGGTCCAAGTCTCCTTCATCTCTCCCCTAGATTATTGCAGTAACCTCTGAACTGATAATACGCTTGTCCCTCTGGTCTATTCTCAACATAGCAGCCAGAGCAGTCCTGTTAAAACATAATCATGTATGTTACTCCTTTTCTCAGAACCATCCAGTGGCTCCCTATTTCATCCAGAATAAAACAGAAGCCTTGACTAGGTCCTGTAAAGTCCTACAGCTGTTTACTTCTTTGACTTCGTCTGCTACTCTCCTGCTTGCCTTGTTTCCAGCCCTCTGGCCTTTTCACTATTCTCCAAACACTCCAGTCTTGCTCTCCAAGTACTCTACTCTGTACTTGATCCTCCCTCTCCCTGGAGTACTCTTCCCCTTTAAGTCCTTACGGTTAAGTTTCCTCATTTTGTTCAGTCAGCTTGGTAGTGAAGCCTTCTTAGGCCACCCTATCTAAAACTTTAACTCCATCTTCCCTAACATTTTATGTCTTCATTTTCTGCTTATTTTTCCTTAGTATTTATACTATATAATATACATCAAAATTTTACTTATTATGTTATTGTTTATCTTCCCTACTAGAACATATCTACCACAAGGACAGGATTTTTGTCTGTTGTGTTCACTGCTATATTTCTCAGTGCCTAAAATGATACCTGTCTATATAGTAGGTACTCAATGAATATTTGGATGGATGGATGGATGATAGATTAATGATAAGAATAGACAGTGTTTACTTTGATTATTCTCCAGTGCCTCAGCCTGAGAAAAATATTGGATTAATACAGTACATTCAGATTATATGACACCAATATGCCTGAGGATATAATGTTGAAAGCATAATTTGAAATAAATGTTCAGAAGCTGTTGTATATGCTAGGGATTATTTTCTGGGAGTAAATATATAAGGAGTACAGCTGCACAGAAGATGGCATAGTACTTTTAATCAACAAAATCTGAGAATTATATCATACAGAACTGTACAATGAAAGTGAACTTGATCTTTTATCCTAAGTAGAAGACCAGCTCAAAAGCTTCAAATGTGACTGACCCTTGTGAAATTAAATACTCTTAACTATGTAAATATGGTTAGAATCATTCTTTCCTTTAGGAAGTTATAGGTAAATCTAGGGAAACTGGTAATTATTCATATCAGTACAGGAAGATTTTTCTAAAAGATGTCTATGAAGGATTTGTAAAGTTTGCCATAATTGTCTCTGTCAGGTTCTGAACTTCCTTCAGTTTTCCAATATTGTATTAGTTATTTATTGATATATAACAAATCATCCCAAAATTAAGTGGTAGAAAACAAGCATTTATTATCTTAAAATTTCAGTGAGTCAGGAATTTAAGAGCAGCTTTGCTAGGTGTCTCTAGCTCAGAATCTTTCATATGGTTGCAATCAAGCTACTGGAGAGTGGGAGCTGCCGCTGAGGGGGTCAGGGGAGGCGGGAGAGCCATTTCCAGGGTCACTTAGGGTTTGTGGACAGACCTCAGTTCCTTTGCCTCATGGGCCTTTCTACAGGGTTGTCTCATGATGCAGCAGCTGGCTTTCCCCAGGATCATCTATCTAGGAGAGAGCAAGAGACCACAAACAAGGTTGAAGTCATAGTCTTGTTACAGTCTAATTTTGGAAATGACATCCTTTCACCTCTGCCATTTTCTGTTCATTAGAAGTGATTCAGCAAGTCCAGTATATGCTCAGAGAGAGGGGATTATACACCAAAAAGTGGGGATCACTGGGGCCATTTTAGAGGTTGCCTGCCACAAATACTTTAATCTCTTCCCACATGCTTGCTAGCTGTAACGGATTTGAGCACAATTATTTCGTTGTCACTAAAGCTGTATTTTTTTTTAGTTTATCTGTGAACTCAGTTTATAGAAGAATGAATTTAAATGGACACCTATAGAAAAAATGAATAGAGCAAATGCCTTTAAAGGCATTAGAACATAATTTTAAGCATTGTGAAATAACTCACTTTAGGGAAGTAACAGGGCCAAGATTTTTTTTTCCCTAGGAGACAGCAAGAAGCCCCAAAGCAAACGACTGCTACTTTTTTTTTTTTTGTCAAAACCAATTAAGATTCCCCATTCCCTTTAAATAAGACCAAACAATAATGTCATTAGTGGTGGGAACTTTTTGTTTGTTTGTTTATTCACTTCTGATACGGTTCCATGTTTGGTATTTGAAATGAAGGAGAGAGCTAAGGGCTCTCTGTTCCTGCCAAGGGAGACCAAAACACTTGTCTATAGGTGACATTTAGTGTAATGCTGTTTATTAAAATAGTTACTAGACAAAGATCAGCAGTCTTTTTCCTGTTTCTTTTAGTTGATTGCAAGTTAATCATTTAAGAATTGGATCTTCTGACTTCCTAGAGACTAGTAGCTCTAGATTATATGCTTGATATTAGTGGGTCCTAAGAAAGTTTTGTCTAACTTAATAAAATTTATTGTTCTTCTAATCAATACTCTGTTTTTTTGCCATTTGAGAAAAAAGTTTGTTCCGCTTTGTTGATGTCTCTGTAAAAGCTCTTTGCACATGCTTGGCATAATATAAGCACTCAGTAAACTCCTTTCTTTATGTAGCAGAAGCATCCTGAATTTCTATGTAGTGTTAAGTGCTTTCATGGCATGCAGAACTAATATTTAATAGTGCATGGGTGTTATATATTTTTAAGCCACTTGAATTTAAATGAATAACTTTTTGCCTGTCCTTTACATTTCTAAATAATTTTTTATCACTCCTAACCCATATCTTGAATTATAGTTGAAAGTAATTTTTCACTTGAGTAATTTCCAAAACAAAATACTTGGGTGATTTCATTTTTCTCTTTCCACCTTCATTTTCCAAAATTAAAACAAACATAACACCTAAGCCAAGGTCTTTTTATGTGTGGAAAAGAAAATTCCTTGCGAATTATGATTATTAGAATTGATATGCATGTGCTTTCTACTTATAAACTAATGCTATTTTCCTTGTCCTTTTGTTTCACTGCTGCTTCAATCCTGATACATTTTGCTTCTTCCTGGTTTGGATTGTATTTGTTTGCTGCTCAATTACCCTGCATTAAAAGCTTCTTGGTGATAGCAAAGATGTCCTTGGGCCATCAAGTAAGTAGCTAAAGTTTGAATGGCATGTTTGGAAACATGATAATATTTTGATGTGTACTTAGAAAAGGCATGTGGTATTTCCATTTTGGTTATTAAGTCTTCTGCTTTTCTTTCCAGGCATTGAAATATAAAGTAAAGAATATGAATGATCATTCAGTACCCACCTGTTGTCAGTGTCCATCTGAGATTGATAGTGTTTGTATATTTACATCTTGATTATCTGAATATGGATTATTTATTTAGCCAGTTATCTACTTCATAATTTATAAATTCATAATTCCTAAATTATGAATTAATACTTCTTTATAGTATCCTTTCTACAATCATCACAAAGCATAGATCAGAGTACTCTGAGGCTGGATATAGTACAACAAATTCACTGCCATATGAAAGTGAGGAATAGTGTCATTTTTGTCAGAATTTTTACATAATAGATAATTTGGTTTTGAAAAGTTTTTATGTGTTCTTTGGTGATTTCATAAGTGACCTGTTTTATCTAGGGATTTAGAAGATACACCCTTTAAATTTATGTCCAAAAAATTTTTTCTTGACCAGGCGCTGTGCTAGCTTCAGGGGATACACAATAAATAAAACATGTACCATGCCCTTAAGATCATTATATACTAGTAGGGGAGTTAGACCCATGAATACATAATTTCAAAGCTTTGTGACATATTAAAAGTCATAGAATTACTGAGGTGAATGAAACTTCAGAGATCATTTAATAAAGCATTAATTTTGTAAATGAAGAGCGTGAAGCTAAGAACTTAAATATCTAAGGAGTTAGAATTGGTTGCTAGTTCAATATGTCATCTTCTGGTTTTCAGAAATCAGAATGAAACTATCATTTTACTGAATTCAAGTCTAACCAAATAATTAAGATATTACTGCATCATAAATCAGGCAAAGATTTTAACTTTATTCAAGACCAATGTGGAAATTATATCAATTTAGGATGTTTTAGTATTTATTCCTAAGTAATTGACTATAGTAAGTCAGTTCACCACTTTGGGGCTCATTCTTTTTATTGGCTAAAGAAGGGGACTGAGCAAGATAATGGCAAAGTTTCTTCTAATTGTAAAATACTTTGGTCTAGATTAGTTGCTGTTTTCTCTAATAATGGTTATAGTATGTTTGTGATTTTGTTTTCTAAAAATAATGGTTATAGTATGTTTGTGATTTTGTTTTCTAAAAAGAGAGGTAATTTAAAGTGATATGCTAAAATTCCTTTTTTATTCTAATTGCAACAATTCATAGTATTTTAAATATATTGTTTATTATACATCTCGCATTATTAGAATAGTGAAATTTTAAAGTAGAAAAAGTATACAAATCCCAAAACATTTTTATGCTTTCTTGTTCAGCCTTACTTGTAATACCTGGTAGATATTTTCAATGCATTTTTCAGTTACTTTAATTACCTCATATATTTAGGTGTTGGCTTAGGCGAACTGATTGGCACTGCTGAACTTTACAAATAGAATTGCATTTTTAGAAATTTATTGTGGTTATATATTTTAAGCATATGCAAATTAAAATATACAACATATAGTAGAGATGAGTTTATATTGTACTCTGCCAACTGTTTAAAGACCGAGGCTGTATAATTATTTACTGCAGACCATATATCTTTTTGAGTGAAAAGTAATTTCACATAGTACTTCATTAGGATCTGTACAATTGAATCAAAAAACTATGAAGATCATATTCAAATTACTTATGTATTTGAGAAAAGGTATGTCCTCTGTAGGGGGATATTTAGGATTTTCATAGAGATTTTTATGACTTTAAACAATTACTTTACTTCTTAGTTTTCACTTAGATTAAAAGCAAACACCAGACTTTGAGGCTTGTAATATTCTTCAGATTTTGTATTGATGAGTTGAATTCAGAAAGAATGGTAGTTATAGAATCATATTCTCTTAGAAGTTACAGTATGTTAATTATATTACTATTAATTATTCCAGTGTGATTAGTTTTTACCATATTTAAAAGTAATATGACTAGCAAAGTAGGTGGCTTTGCTTTACTTTGACTACAAAATAGAACCAGGAGAGGGCACTATAATGCTAATATCTTTAGAAGGTTAGGCAGTTGATTGAATTACCAGAAACTGTTTTGGAATCCTGCAGTGATTCATTGGTCAAATATCGATCCAAGCATTTAGTAAGTATTTATTGTCAGTTTTATGCCAAAGGATACAAATGAAAATAAAGTCACTGCCCTTCTTGAGTTTATATGTGAATAGTCTACTGTTGTGCAAGTGATACAGGACATCAAAATGATTTTTATATTATGCAAATTTTCTGTATAGTTAATGTTTGTGAATGGGGTGAAAGAAAACAAATTTTAAAATGATTTCTGTTTTTTTTAAGGAAATATACTCTGTGTATTGCTATTTCTACAAGCCCTCTCATTTCAAGGTTATCAAAATCATAAACAGTAATACCTCAATCAATAAGGAGTTAGAAAAGGGTGAATAGAACTAAGTTTACACTTTTCCTTTTTTATATAGTGAAGTTATTCAAGACTTAGATATGTATGTCTTTCTTATGGAAGTATGCTAAAGCATACTTTAATTCTTTTAGCTGTTCTTATAATGTATTTTAATTAGCCTTAAAGGTACTAATACTATAAAAGAATATATGAAGCATATGTAAATTATAAATACAGTGAGTACATATTGAACCTACCATTCAACTAAAGAACTTGAATCCTACAAATGCCTCATGTCTATGTGCTTCTTCTCTTTCCTTTCCCTGTGCCTACCCCCCCAGGGGTGATGACTAATTTGTATTTTTTTGTTTATTATTCTTTGCTTTTTCAAAAACAGATTTTTGGGGTTATTTTTAGGTTACATATGTATCACTAAGGTTTGCTAGGTTTTTAATTTTATAGGAATGGTATCATGCTATATGTCATCTTCTCTGACTTGTTTTTTGTAGTTAACATTGGATTTCCAAGATTCAGCCATGTTACTGGGTATAGATAAAGCCCGTCTGTTTTTAGTGCTATATACTATTCCATTATATGCCTATACAACAATATATTAATCCATATTGTTTTCAATTGATGAATATTTAAGTTGTTTTGAGTTTTGCTATTATGAATAGTGTTGCTATGAACGAATCTTATTTTTGTCTCTTGGTACACACATATAAGAGTATTTCTAGGTATAAGGCTAGGAGTGGAATTTTTGGACCCATAGGATATGTGAAATTCAATTTTATAAACTCTAAATGGTTTTCCAAAGTGCTTATATTAATTTATATTCGGCCAGCAATGCTTAAGATGGTTCACTGATCCCATCCTTAACCAGTATTTGGCATTATCAGACTTACTAATTTTTTTCAGTTTTAGTGAGTGTAAAATATTTATTTCATTGTGATCTTGATTTTTTTTTTCCTGACTGCTAAAGAGGATGAAAATCTTTTTGTACATTTATTGGCCATTTGCATTTCTTCTTCCATGAACTAACTGTTCATGTTCTCCCACCATTTTCCTCTTTTTTTAATTAAAAATTTTTTAAATTGAGGTATAATTGACATATAACATTGTATTAGTTTCAAGTGTGCAACATAATGATTCCATATTTGTATATATTTTGAAGTGATAACCACAATAAATCCACTTAACATCCATCACCATACATTGTTACAGAATTTTTTTTCTTGTGAAAAAAAATTTCTTCTTCTTCTTTAAGATTTATTTACTCTTGTGATAACTCATAGTGGAGAAGAATCTGAAAAAGAATATAGATAGGTAGATATCTATATACATATAGATATGTAATTGAATCACTTTGCTGTACATCTGAAACATAGTAAATCAACTGTACTTCCTTTTTTTTTTTTTGCGGTACGCGGGCCTCACTGTTGTGACCTCTCCCGTTGCGGAGCACAGGCTCCAGACGCGCAGGCTCAGCGGCCATGGCTCACCACTGCGCCACCAGGGAAGCCCTGTACTTCAATTTTTAAAAAGATTTACTCTCTTAGCAAATTTCAAATATTCAATACAGTATTATTAACTCTAGTTGCCATGCTGTACATTACATCCACATGACTTATTTATTTTATAACTGGAAGTTTGTACGCTTTGACCCATTTTGCACAAGCACAACGCCGTCCCCCTCTCTGGCAAACTGCGAATTTGTTATCTATATCTGTGAGTTCAGTTTTTGTTGTTGTTCTTGGTTATTTGTTTAGCTGCCACATATAAAGGAGATCATATGGTATTTGTCTTTCTCTGACTTATCTCACTTAGCATAATGCTCTGAAGGTCCATCCATGTTGTCACAAATGAAAAGATTTCATTCTTCCATTGATGGACACTTAGGTTGTTTCCATATCTTGGCTATTGTAAATAATGCTGCAGTGAACATGGAATGCGTATATCTTTTCAAATTTGGGTTTTCATTTTCTTTGGATAAATACCCAGAAGTGGAATTGCATGTGGTAGTTCTATATAGGTTTACTTTTTGAGGAACCTACATACTGTGTTCCATAATGGCTGCACCAATTTACATTCCCACCAACAGTGCACAAGGGTTCCCTTTCCTCCACATCCTCATCAATACTTGTTATTTCTTGTCTTTTTTGATAATAGCAATTCTAACAGGTGTGAGGTGATAGATACCTCATTGTGGTTTTGATTTGCATTTCCCTGATGATTAGTGATGTTGAGCATCTTTTCATGTACCTTTTGGCTGTTGAGCTATATGAGTTCTTTATATATTTTGGATATTAACCCCTTATCAGATATATGATTTGCAAGCATTTTATTCCATTCATTGTATTGATGGTTTCCTTTGCTGTGCAGAAGCTTTTTAGTTTGATGTAGTTTCACTTGTTTATTTTTGCTTTTATTGCCTTTACTTTTGCTGTCCAATCTAAAAAATCATTGCCAAGACTGATGTCAGGAAGCTCACTTCCAGGGACTTCCCTGTTGGTGCAGTGGCTAAGAATCCACCTGCCAATGAAGGAGACATGGGTTCAAGCCCTGGTCCGGGAGGATCCCACATGCTGTGGACAACTAAGCCCGTGCGCCACAGCTAATGAGCCTACGCTCTCGAGCCCGCGAGCCACAACTACTGAGCCTGCGTGCTGCAACTACTGAAGGCCGTGCACCTAGAGCCTGTGCTCTGCAACAAGAGAAGCCACTGCAATGAGAAACCCGCACACCGCAATGTGAAGCCCATGCACCGCAGTGAAGAGCAGCCCCCGCTCACCACAACTAGAGAAAGCCTGCGCGCAGCAATGAAGGCCCAACACAGCCAAAAATAAATAAATAAATTTAAAAAAAAAAAAGAAAAAAAAGAAGGTCACTTCCAGTTTTCTTCTAGGAGTTTTATAGTTTCAGGTCTTAAATTTGAGTCTTTAATCCATTTTGAGTTAATTATTTTGTCAGAAAGTAAGTGGTCCAGTTTCATCCTTTTGCATGTGTCTGTCTAGTTTTCCCAACACCATTTATTAAAGAGACTGGCCTTTTCCCCATTGTATATTCTTGGCTTCTTTGTCATAAATTAATTGACCATATATGTGTAGGTTTATTTCTGGGCTCTCTATTCTGTGCCGTTGATCTATGTGTCCCTTTTTATGCCAATACGACAGTGTTTTGATTACTGTAGCTTTGTAATACAATTTGAGATCAGGGAGTGTGATGCCTCCAGCTTTGTTCTTTCTCAAGATGGCTTTGGCTACTCGGGGTCTTGTGTGGTTCCACACAAATACCATTGGAATTTTGAGAGGGATTGCATTGTCTGTAGATTGCTTTGGGTAATATGGACATTTTAATACTATCCCTCCAATCCATAGCATGGTATATCTCTCCATTTGTGTGTGTCTTCTTCAGTTTCTTTCCTCAGTGTTTTACAGTCTTCAGTGTACTTGTCTTTCACCTCCTTGGTTAAGTTTATTCTCAGGCATTCATTTTGATGCATGCTCCCATTTTTCTTTTGCATTTTTTGGTCTTTTTCTAATTGATTTATAGGAGTTTTTTTTTTTTAACATATTCTGGATACCAACTCTTTGTTAATTATATGTGTTGCAAATATCTTCTCTTGTTTTTTTTTGATTTCTTTATATCTTTTGATTAGATTAATTCTTAATTTTTTTTTTCTTTCTTTTTTGGTTAGTGCTTTGTTGTGTCTTTTTTTTTTAATTTTTAAATTTTATTTTTTTATACAGCAGGTTCTTATTAGTCATGAATTTTATACACATCAGTGTATACATGTCAATCCCAATAGCCCAATTCATTACATCCCCACCCCCACCCCCCTGCCACTTTCCCCCCTTGGTGTCCATATGTTTGAGTTTTTGAGTTTAGGAGGAGATAAAAATTTAGTAGTCATCAGTATAAGGATTCTTTTTTATGGACTTGATGGGAAAATAAATTTTTTATATCTTGGATGATAAGTGAAAGTATTTCTGAGTTTTTACTTTAAAATTTAAGGAGCTAAAATATAATTTTGATAACTTTAGCACAATTTGAAAACATGTTAAAACAATTAGATTTAAAAGCTATGGTGATTAAAAAAGTGAATATTAAGTTCTCATTAAGTTTAAAATTACATCTAGACTGAAGACAGAATCATCCTCTCTCAAGATAAAACTAAAGTTTTCATAGACTGAAAAGCAGTTATATAAAATGGAAGGATGGAGTTCCTGGGGCACTGTGGATTTGCTCACGATTTGCCCTACTCCTTCAATGAGTACTTTTCTCTTTTCTGCCCTCTCTGGAACTGGACATTGCTCTTCTCCGTTAGTAGCTTGGTCAAATGGGTGAATAGCAGCCTTAAACACTAGATTGATTGTTGGGACAGCAAGCTTTTGAGACCAGACTTTGAACCAAATCGTTCTGAGTTAGAATCTTACCTCTATTACTTAGTCTTAGGCAAGACAATCTCTGAACCTAAAGTTTCCCCATCTCTAAAACAAGAATCACACCTACTTTCCATGAAAATTAGAAATTAGAGTAGAAATTCTAGTGAATATAAAATACCATTTTATACTGCAATTAATTTGTATTTTTTTCTCATTACTAATGAGGTTGACTATCTTTTCATATGTTTACCGACCATTTGTATTTCTTCTGTGAAATGACATTGTCTTTTGCTTACTGCTCTATTGGCAAATATATAGAGTTAATAACACAATGAAAGGTTGACAGTAAACCTTGGAGTACTTTCATTATCAGAATATGTACTTTCATTTTTATGAGGTCTATACTTTGTATAATTTGACTCATACCTATAAATTCCTCTTGAATTGATAACAAACTAAAAATAAAACAATTATGTTAATTTTTTATTAAAGTATTGAGTTGGTAAAATGAATATAACCACTGAGGCCATTTCAGTCGTAGTTCTATTCCATGTTATTAACTATGCCGTTATGTAAATCTATGAATTAAGTACTAATTCTTTTTCCCTTCTTTCCTTGAGCTGTGGTAGCAAACAGTGACGATACTCAACACCTGACACCAGGAAAGATGAGTCAGCGCCAAGGGAAAGAAGCTTTTCCAACGCCAACCAAAGATCTGTATCAGCCATCTTTTAGTCCAGCAAGTCCTCATAGCCAGGGTAAGGAGTTGTACTTTTAATGTTTTTTGTTGTTTTTGATGGTGTGGTGTGGTGTGGTGTGGTGTGGTGTGGTGTGTGTGTGTGTGTGTGTGTGTGTGTGTGTGTGTTTAGGGAGAAAATGACATTTGGGGGTCTATCATGACTTTTCTTTTGGACTGTTTGGTTTTATAAAGGTTTATGTTTGTTTTGATCGTTCATAATACTCTTGAAATGAGTGCATTTTCCTTTGGAGTCCTTTAATTCCCCTTATATTCTCCAACATATTTGGTTACTTGTATCATTCTTCTAATTCAGTGATTCTCAAACTTTTTGGTCCAGGACTCCTTTGTACTGTCAAAGATTACTGAAACCCCCAAAGAACTTTTGTTTATGTGGGTTAGGTAACCTCCTGATACTTAACTGTATTGTAAATTAAAACTAAAACCTTAAAAAAATGTTTAGTGTTTTTTTAATTGAAGTATAGTTGATGTACATACAATATTATGCACATTACAGGTGTACAATATAGTGATTCACAATTTTTAAAGGTTATACTCCGTTTATATTTATTATAAAATATTGACTACATTCCCTGTGTCATATAATAAATCCTGTAGCTTATTTTGTATGTAATAGTTTGTTTAAAATGTTTACTCAATAAACCTATCACAGGTTAATATGATTAAAATATTTTTATGAAAAATAACTGTCCCCCTCTCCCCCACCAAAAAAAAGTTGAGTGAGAATGAGAAGTGTAGTATTCTTTTCCATCAGGGTCCCTCAGCCTTGGCCCTATTGTCATTTGGGGCTGGATACTTCTTTGTTGAGGGGAGATATCCCGTGCATTGTAGAATATTTAGCAGCATCCTTGGCCACTATGCACTAGATGCCAATAGCATTTTTCCTGATTGTGATAACTAGAAACAGCTCTAGATCTTGACAAATGTCCCTTGCAGGACAAAACTGTCTCTGGCTGAGAACTACTGTTTTACAGTTTTTGCAAATCTCTTTAATTTATGTCTAGCTTTATCAAGGACATTTGTAAGTGAAACTGGCCTTCTTTTACTGCAAGTGCATGGCAGTGAAGAAATCAGTGACTACTACTGCAGTCTGATGCCTCTGCTTTGATATGTGCTGAAGTGCCAGTGGTCTTACCCAGCATTGCTTTTGCACTATCAGTGAAAATGTCAACACAGTGAAAAAGTATTATGAAACTAGTTTTGACGTTGCAGACCCTTTAAAAAGTCTTGGGGACTTCCAGGGATTATGGAATTCCTAATTCATAATTGATACCTTTTGTATATTCGATTCTGCTTGTTAGCTAAAGTTTATTTGACCAAATGCTTTGAACTCTCCTGTGGTACTACTGGTAACTGTGGTGGAAAGACTTCTGCTTTTAAAACTAAGAACTTAAATTTGGTGTTTGAAAGCTAATATGTACTTAGGTTATCAAGTATTTTTAAAAATTTAGAGTCTTAACAATTATGTTATACTGTCTGTATAGTTAGTCAGGTTTTAGTGTTGTTACTTTATGAATTATTCCTTGAAGTAGGCTTTAGTTACTTCTTTTTAAATGAATATTAACTGGTTAATAGTAAGTTACATGATGATTTTCTAACTTATTCCAGTGGAAAATGTTTTTCTAGTCAAGTGTTAGATAGAGACATTTTTATATAGCATTGCAGGAATTGGAAAAACTTTAACAAGATAAAAACAATTACTACTATGCTAAAATTTATTGCTTGGTTGTTGAATATATTTTGGAAAGTTAGCATTTTTGTTTCTAAATGCTTTTTTGAAAATGGATATATGGTACACAATGGTATACATAAGCTTCATTAAGATAAAATTCTGAAAGGATGCAGCTTACGTGATTTTTTTGTTCTGTGCACCAGAATTTTGACTGTAATAAATATGGTTCATCTGATTCATATATCTGTGTACTAGAATATTTAGAGGAATTCTTTAACTTGGAATTTAATGAAGCAACAAAAAGATTAGTTACTAATCATTAAAAGTACTTTCATGTGTCACGAACATTTTCCGGCAAACAGGGAATTTGAGAGAATAGTACAATGAATACTAATAAATCCATCAAGTAGATGTAAGAAATTATTAACCATTTGTTGGATTTATTTTATTTATTTGGGGGTGGGGCTGGAATATTTGGAGTAAATCATAGACCTCATGATGTTGTACCCCCAAATACTTAATCCATCTCTAAAAATTAAGAACATTTTCTTACATAACCATAAAACCTTTATTAGATCTAACAAAGTTAATGATAATTATTTAATATAAGCTAACACCTAGCTCAAATTTAAATTTCCCCAGTTATTCCCAGGGTTTTTGCAATAAGCTTCTTGAAACCAGGATCCAAGAAAAATTCATGCATTGCATTTGGTTGTCATATAATTATATCTCCTTTAATCCCAAAGAGCCTCCTTGTTTACTCTTATTTTATTTTCTCTTGTGCCTTTGACTTTTTTAAGAAACTAGGTCAGTGTCCCTACAGAGTGCTGGACCTTTTGGATTTGATTGCCTCCTTGCAGTATTGTTTTATTTGTTTCCCCCGTCTTTTGTATTTTCTGTGAACTGGAAGTTAAATGCAAAGGCTTGACTACATTCAGGTTGAACGTTTTTGGCAAGATTGTTTTCTAGGGGATGTGTACCACTTCATGCTGCCTCGCATGAGAATTCACTCAACATACGATTGTCCCACTGTTAGTGATGTGAGATTGATCAGTAGGTTAAGGTGGTGGCAGCCTGATCCTCTTCAATTGAAAGTTGCATCTTTTCTCCCCTTATAACCTGAAAGTAAAAGACAATTGGCACCTAGTAAATATTCTATTCCCCATCAACTTTTCACCTAAAGGTGTAAGCACTCTTTGATGATCAAGATCAATTAGAGTGGAAAACAACATTAGGGTGGAAAAATGGTGATTTTCTAATTCTGTCATTCTTTTTACACTTGAAGTTTTTCTGTAAGAAAGATCTTAATTATCTTAAGGCTACCTAATAAACACTGAAATATAGTTCCTATAGGAAAGTCAGGATAAATGGTTACTGCCTCCTAAGTACCAGTTTTTTAGATTAAAAAGAAGACATAAAGTCTACTTCCGGTGGTGACATATTTTTTTGGCTTACAAATATTTTAATGTAAGGAACTCATGCATTGAAGATAATAATAGTATCCATCCAGCACATAAGCTTTTTATAAGGCTTAAAATGCGTTAATACATATAAAAAGCTTAGAACATAGCCTGGTAAATGATAACCACTCATGATAGCTGATTAATAATAATATTAATAACCACAACAACAATATTATTACTATTATTATGATTCTATTTGAGTTGAAGGCTGATATTTCAACTTTTGCTGTACTTCAGCATCTTATAGAGGCTCATTTGGAAATTCTTTTAGTATGGATGGCCATGTACAACCTCTAACTTTTGCATTTACAGCATCCGTAGTGTTAGTTATATCTTGATTTACACCTAAATGTTCCTGGGTAAGTTATGGGTAAATTAATAGTTATAGAGTGAATTACATACTGAACGTACTTCTCTGTTAAAGCCAACCTACTGGGTTTTTGTAATGTATAATATCTCCCTCTGGTTTACCTACTGAAATACCACATCATAGTTTTCAGGTGTCAGAGGTGTGTTTGAAATAAGATAAACCCATTAACTCTTGGTTATGGTGAAGATAAATTATCGGGGATTAACAAATATCTAGAAAACCTCTTTGATAGGTCTGCCATAACTCAGGTACTCTAGATCAGTATTTCAACTTCGGAATGGAAAGAATTAGAATTCCAAAACCTTATTGATGGTAATAATGACCAACATTTAAAGTTCCCTGTGTCTCTTAAGTGCTTTTTACATGAATTATTAGCTCCTGGAATTCTTATAAGAACCTTATGGTATATAAATCATTCTCCCTGTTTCACAAATGAAGAAACTGAGCAGTTGGTAAGGGTAATTTCCTTAATGTAGTTTACACAGTTAATATGTGATAGAGCTAAAATTTGAACCTAGTTATGACTCCAGAGGTTTATATTTTTAAAGTTTTGATCAATTTAGTCATTAGATTTTTTTTTTTTTTTTTTTTTGCGGTACGCGGGCCTCTCACTGTTGTGGCCTCTCCTGTTGTGGAGCACAGGCTCCAGACGTGCATGCCCAGCGGCCATGGCTCACGGGCCCATCTGCATGTGGGATCCTCCCGGACCGGGGCACGAACTCCTGTCCCCTGCATCGGCAGGCAGGCTCTTCAACCACTGTGCCACCAGGGAAGCCCTAGTCATTAGATTTTTGAGGCTCAAGTTTTACAAACCTTAACTCTGGCTCCTGTGTTTTTTGATATAACCCTATAATGTGTACAATGCTTTATGTGGAGTATTTTTTCTTTCTTTCTTTCTTTGAGTAGTATCTAGGAGTACAGTCGTGAAATCATATGATGAATGTATGTTTTACTTTATAACAAATGGGCAAAGCTGTATTCCAAAGTAGTTTATACCATTTTACATTTGTCAGCAGTGAATGAATATTTCAGTTGCTCTGTAACCTTGATTTCTTTTAGTTTAGCCATTCTAGTGGGTGTATAGTAATACCACATTGTGGTTTTAATTTGCATTTCCCTGATGACTGATAATGTTGAGCATCTTTTCATATGCTCATTGGCCACTTGTATATCTGAAGTGTCATTTCAGATGTTTTTGCTCATTTAAAAATTTGGCTTGTCTTATTGAGTTTTAAGAATTTTAAAATATATTTCAGTATCATCCTTTGCTAGCTGTATATGTTGTATTTTCTTCCAGTCTTGGCATGCGTTTTCATTGTCTAAGTGATTTCTTTCAAAGAACAGATGTTTTTAATTTTGATGAAATCCAATTTATCAATTTTTCCCTATGACTCAAGCTCTCTTTCCCCCCATTAAAGAACTCTTTGTCTACCCTAAAGTTGCAAAGAACACTTTTTGTGATTTCTTCTAGAAGTTTAAAGTGTCACAGCTTTGGT